CTAATAAAAACGATTTCATATATGAACCACAATATCATTTTCATTACTAAGTGTCAGTATTCTCCAGCTTAAGGGATACTGCTATATTTATGTAAATATTTGGATCTTCCAATGCTGTCATATGATAACGACAGCGAGACCTGGTGTAACGTAGTATGTAGTACAATAGTTTTTCTTACAAAATGCTCAGAGCAGGATTAATTCCTGATCGAGCTCGTCTCCCGCACGTGCAGTTTTACTAATAGCTTTCTCACAGAAATTAATGTATTGATGATTTTTCGTGGATTTTCTTTCCGCATTAGATTTATGACCGTCGTGATGATTGTGATTCCTTTAATCTCACGAAGCTCACGAAATGAGAACAAGAGAATTTTGAAATAAATGTCATGCTATACAGGAAAACCAATGCCGAGATTTATCTATCACATATAAATTAAATATTAGTGGAAAATGAGTCTTCGTTGACGGATTTCCAAAGGTTACGTTTTAACAGCAAACGTCACAAGGGAAGGTTCTACTTGTGACGTCATGACAACGTCACTGGTTAGGAGATTTGTGTGAAAGTATGTACAGTACTTCTACTAACCCATCCATCGCCAGTTCTATCACAGATCGGTGGCCTATACAGTGCTGTTTAAATTGCGCTAAAATGGACCATTACTGAAGGTCGCTTAGTATCTCACCGATATGCCAATCAATATGAAAAAACGCAAGATATCGACAAGTTACCGGAAGGTCTAAGCGCGAGCCGGCCATTGTATCTCAACTAGTACTGCTAATTCACTCTCAAATATTTCATCTATTGATTCCTGGCCAAGCATCATCGGTCACGTGCAGTGTCTGCGTGAAACATTGGTCATTTATGTATAATACGTGGACATCTGTCGAAAAATCTTAACATACATCAAATTCAACTTGGGTTGACGAGGTGACTTGAAGTCCTACGTGAGTAGGAACTATTGCAATTTTCTACGAGTGTTAGAGTACAATAATTAGCAAACGAGTGCATCGCCGGAAATGCAGGAATTACAAACACAACTCTGACTTAAGTGCGTTAGTTAAATGTCGTTTTTTTCTTAAATCACGTGACACAACAAACTAATTATGAAAACAGCGGATGTGTATATAGACCTCTATCTGTGCTGTTAGCCAGTAGTAAATTATACCCACGTATAACGCTTATTTAGGTGTGTCGAGTGCACGTGACTCCATAAAGTGCATTCTCTATGGCGTAATAGTATGTAAAGCCATGTGACATTGATGGAAAGTCGCCATGTTCTGTGAGGTTCAATATTGATTGTATCGGAGCTAAGACATGCAATGACAGACGGATGGGCGAGAGGTAATGGCGGTCACTATGATCGGCCATAAACATCAGCCACTGTCCTCAAAATTACATTTACGTCCGACTTAGGTCTCATTTTCTCCTCGTTTAAAATGTCTTTTGGAATTACTTCTGTGACACAATGTAGCCAATAAAACGTCGCCGGGAGAGGGCGCTAGTGTCCAGGAACAAAGATTTGATATGGCTAGTCGGTGACCGTAATCTCGGACAGAACTCAGCTGACAACTTTTGCCCACTAATTCGATACCGTGCCAATTGCATTAAAGCCCCTGTACTCAGATTTGTAACGCGACATGTATCCCCCAATTTTTACTTGTGAAGACGATTTTATCACTGGTGCAGTGAACTAACACAATTATACACTAACACTCTATAGTATTGAAATTGATATTTAAAAGATCTACGACAGCTTAATATGACTACCGTTACACTGTGTTATCTCATCGTTCCATCCATGTACTTTCCTGTCCAGTATTCAAAATGTTCAGTTAAGAATGCGAATTGACTTCATATTTGCCTTTTAACACGCAAAATCATTTCGAGTGATCAAAACCGTGATGTGGAGATTTCGGGTAGGATATTTAGTAGAATTTTTCGCTCAGCATATCTTATGTCTGATCAAATGTCTTTATTCGGATTTACTACCAACTTTTATGTTCTGTATATATATATATATATATCAACCAACTTGCTTATCGAGTCTAGATCTAGGAGCGGACAGCTAAATGACAATGACCTTTAACTGCCAGTCCAGCATTATGAGCCTACTCGACGCTGATTGAATATCGCACGTCGTTAACTCCCCAAAGTCCACTAATTCCGGAATTTGGCCGGCCAAGGACTTTCTCTGTGTCCAGTACTGACCACTATGAGTTATTCCCCAGGTACGTGACCCGGAATAATAACAACAGCTCGCGGGCTTGTATTGGTCATCAGTACACAGAAACAACTTCTACCAAATAGTCATGTTTGTTTTAATACCACCAGAACCAACCTCTGTCGGAACATGAATAGCGTTGCTTTTTTATTCAACGCGATCGTTTTCGATACAATATCCGTGAAGGAATGAATGATTATTCGCCCTAGTCTTAATGTTGCATGAGTGATTAGGAGTTTACATGCGGTCACGTATGAAGTTCATGAGTGAAGCATGAGTTGCTCGAGGTGACACCTGAGTTTTACTGAGTGATATACAGTTTGCAGGTTGTACAAAACGATGCACGAGTATTAGTGAGTGATCTAAGTTGTAAAAGTTGTACCACGTGACATGTAAGGTGAGATGAGTTGTACTTCAGTGATGTATGAGTTGTACTTTAGTGATGTATGAGTTGTACGTCAGAGATGTACTTTAGTGATGTAGAAGTTGTACTTCAGTGGTGTATGAGGTGTACATCAGAGATGTACTTTAGTGATGTAGAAGTTGTACTTCAGTGATGTATGAGTTGTACGTCAGAGATGTACTTCAGTGATGTTGAAGTTGTACGTCAGTGATGTATGAGTTGGAGTTTAGTGATGTAGAAGTTGTACGTCAGTGATGTTGAAGTTGTACGTTAGAGTTGTACTTCAATGATGTTGAAGTTGTACATCAGAGTTGTACTTCAGTGGTGTGACGTTGTACATCAGAGTTGTACTTCAGTGTTGTTGAAGTTGTACGTCAGAGATGAACGTCAGTGATGTAGAAATTGTACGTCAGAGTTGTACGTCAGTGATGTAGAAGTTGTACGTCAGTTATGTTGAAGTTGTACTTCAGAGTTGTACTTCAGTGATGTTAAGTTGTACGTCAGAGTTGTACTTCAGTGATGTGACGTTGTACGTCAGAGATGTACTTCAGTGATGTGACGTTGTACGTCAGAGTTGTACTTCAGTGATGTAGAAGTTGTACGTCAGAGTTGTACTTCAGTGATGTGACGTTGTACGTTAGAGTTGTACTTCAGTGATGTAGAAGTTGTACGTCAGAGTTGTACATCGGTGATGTGACGTTGTACGTTAGAGTTGTACTTCAGTGATGTAGACGTTGTACGTCAGAGATGTACTTAGGTGATGTTGAAATTGTACGTTAGAGTTGTACTTGAGTGATGTTGAAGTTGTACGTTAGAGTGGTACTTCAGTGATGTGACGTTGTACGTTAGAGTTGTACTTCAGTGATGTGACGTTGTACGTCAGAGATATACTTCGGTGATGTGACGTTGTACATCAGAGTTGTACTTCAGTGATGTAGAAGTTGTACGTCAGAGATATACTTCAGTGATGTAACGTTGTACGTCAGAGTTGTACTTCAGTGATGTAGAAGTTGTACGTCAGAGTTGTACTTCAGTGATGTGACGTTGTACGTTAGAGTTGAACTTCAGTGATGTAGAAGTTGTACGTCAGAGATGTACTTAGGTGATGTTGAAGTTGTACGTTAGAGTTGTACTTCAGTGATGTAGAAGTTGTACGTCAGTGATGTTGTTGTTGTACGTCAGAGTTGTACTTCAGTGATGTGACGTTGTACGTCAGAGATGTACTTGAGTGATGTTGAAGTTGTACGTTAGAGTGGTACTTCAGTGATGTGACGTTGTACGTTAGAGTTGTACTTCAGTGATGTAGAAGTTGTACGTCAGAGATGTACTTAGGTGATGTTGAAGTTGTACATTAGAGCTGTACTTGAGTGATGTTGAAGTTGTACGTTAGAGTGGTACTTCAGTGATGTGACGTTGTACGTCAGAGTTGTACTTCAGTGATGTAGAAGTTGTACGTCAGAGATATACTTCAGTGATGTAACGTTGTACGTCAGAGTTGTACTTCAGTGATGTAGAAGTTGTACGTCAGAGTTGTACTTCAGTGATGTGACGTTGTACGTTAGAGTTGTACTTCAGTGATGTAGAAGTTGTACGTCAGAGATGTACTTCAGTGATGTAGAAGTTGTACGTCAGAGATGTACTTAGGTGATGTTGAAATTGTACGTCAGAGTTGTACTTCAGTGATGTGACGTTGTACGTCAGAGTTGAACTTCAGTGATGTGACGTTGTACGTTAGAGTTGTACTTCAGTGATGTGACGTTGTACGTCAGAGTTGTACGTCTGTGATGTTGAAGTTGTACGTTAGAGTTGTACTTCAGTGATGTATGAGTTGTACGTCAGAGTTGTACCTCAGTGATGTTGAAGGTGTACGTCATAGTTGTGCACGAGTTGAAGGCAAGTCAGATTACAGAAGCTCAATTGATGGTCATATTATGAGGTAGTGTTTTCGATCTCGAAATACAAGTTTTTACTGTCTGTCATTACATTACACCTGAATTCACTATACTCAATAGATCAGAGCCAGTGCCAGGGTCTGTCTCCCTGCTTGTAGAAACAGGTCAGTTAGACAAGTTAATGTTGTGTTTAAAATCATAATCATATCTTTCTGTAGTAGTAATTTAAGAAAACGTCATAAAAGCAATGTTTTAACTTTATTGCTAGATTATTCCACATCGTCATAAACAATACGACAGGATTTTCTATTCCTTTACAAATCTGTAATTCCAAAGCAAAGCAATGAAAATGGATAATGGAATAACGATCCTTCAGTAGATGTCAACTGTATTTTATGTGATAGTTAATTTAATATGTTAAAAAGATGAAGAACTATGCAAACACATTTTAGCAATATGGCCTTGACAGAATATTAACAACAGATGGCGCTATCGTCGGAAGCAGGACCTGTCATGGCCGCATTCAGTCAAGTAAATCCTTTTGGGTTTCGAGGTATACGCGACAAGTTGATAATAAATATAGTTAGCTTTAATAGATTCATTGTACCATAACAAACCTGACAGCTATATAAACTAGAAAAAAATTATAAAAACTGTCCCTTTGATGAAAATGAAACAAATGGTAATCGTTACCTCATACTTTCCTAGGAACTGTCCACACATTGTAGTCGGGCTCGGTAACAAGCTTCGCCCAACGCTGGTGTCGTTTGCAACTTGTCGCCGTGTTTGGTAACAAGCGCCGCGGGCCATCTCTTTCATGATTGGGCACGGCGGAAACCCTCGAGCGCAGGTGAGGATTTTAGTTCTACATGCATATTTTAGTTCCAAGACTATAAAACAGAGAAGCTGAGTCAAAAGTAGGGACATATCTATTTCAGATAACCGGGTTAGTTTTACGTAAACAGATAATTCCTGAAAACAAATATAATGGCAGTCGCTTGGCACCCGAAGGTAAATGTAGTTTTAGATGAATGGCTAATTAAAAAAAAAAAAAAAAACCAGTATGACAACTATATGATAGTGACCGTTTTGAAGCATTCGTCCATTTTATCGGTATGCCAATGGAATCTGTGGCCATTAGATGAAAAAAAGGTCCTGAAATTAGTTCGGTAGTAATATTTCCGTAAGTGTTAAAGGTGTTGGACTCATTTGTACATCTCTTACATTGTCCTGAGCAATATCTCTCTCTTAAGACGTCTACAGACGAAAATGTGAAATACACATGTATTGTCCTGTATTGAAGTCAATGACGGAGTGTTGAAACATATATAGCAATAGGATAGGACAGTCTAAGGGTCAATGGTCATTGTAAATGGTCAACTCACTGGATCACATTCAATGTTGTTCTCTTGGTTTGTATAGTTGACGGTACGTCGCTCGTAGAACGAATATCTGTACATCGCTGTTCGCTTTAAGAGAGTCACTTACAATGCTGGTCTAGTGTATTCTGTAGATTTTACAAAGTTGACTATTCTTGTGAAAACGCAATCTAACAATCTGTATTGCCAGGCGCCTGTAATTAAATTATAATATATAGACGCGAATGCTGTATATAAGAGTCTATTAGAGTTACCTCCCCTTGGCAATTATGGGTATAACAAAATGACCTCATTACATATGTATTACATTTAGTGATGTACTGCTAACATTTAAGTTCCGTATCAGGTTTATTGCAGACTAAAGACCTTTCAAAACATTCACAAGATCTCATCTTCTAATTTATTATGCCCATTGATAAGCGATCGCTTAACTAGTGTGCAAATACATTAATTAGGAAAATAAGACTTTTGGGATGAGGGGGAGGATATTCTTATTTATCTTCAGTAATCAGAAGTGAAATTTTACTAAATGTAACTCCCCATGATTTTTGACTTCCGTATCTTAAACCCGGCGGAATGCTTAATCACATTTCGCTAATACAGTGTTCTGAAAAGCACGCGCAAACTGATGTTTATCTTGATCCTTCCGCACAAATTAAAGGTCTCTAGTAAGACCTACTTCGTAAAAACACGAATCATATTGAGATCAGTTTCGTCAATCCTGCCATTTTGTTTCTATTTCCGTATTCCGGGTCTGTATGCAGTGTTGTCTTTATACTTCCACACACCTTTTACCAAGGTCAAGGGAAAGTTTGAAAAGGCTGTTGGTTCCTGCTGAGCTTACACCTGAATCAGTAGCCGCCATCTTGACTAATGCCACTTGGAAAGACTCTTCTGATCAAGTTCTGAGATAGACAGTTAAATTAATATCATAATTTGGAACGTTTATAGCGTTTTCTCGTAAATGCCCAACAACATGTGTCAGTGTGCGCCAGGCACTGGTCGCCATAACGTTTGTGTTTCACTAGCTACAAGTCCGTTACTCTGTAAGCTGTCTTCGGCTTCAAAGAGGAGTTTGTTATGGTGTAATTCAAATGCTATAAATCATATTTGAAATATAAATCATTCGTTTATGATGACCCTTTGAAGATTGGAGGGGTGTATTAGATAACACTCGACTTTGATAAGTTAAAAACTTCCATAGGCGAGAGGGAAAGTTGTGGTTGCACTCTCGCCAAACGTTTAGGGGCCTTAGACCGAAATATTGGGATGGTTTATTTAGTGTTCGTTGCTTCTTTTAAGCATATTATAAGGCGATGATCTATATAACGTGTCTATATAAAGTCGACAGTCCATCAATGTATGCTTCCTGGATATCCCGGTATTATACAGCTGTGTAGTTTCTAACAATAGGTACATGTCAGGTAGTAAAAATTGAACACTTCAAAAGAGTTTAGACACATTATTTTCATTTATTTATTGAATTGGATTATATAAATCTGAAGAACAATACATAGTTGCAAATGTTATTTTTCAGGTTTTCTCACCGCAACTCAAATTTGTTGTGGTATCAATACACATTTCAGTACTTGTAATTTGGTAGCAATTAGTCAGAAATTAATATATCCTCAGTCATTGGTCATTGTAGACGTGCAAGGAAAACGACTTAAAATTTAGCTCAAATGGGCCACAGAAACAGTGAGGTAATGTCATGTCGAGGCGTCAGACTTGTACCGGTCAGAGGCATTCTTGGTAAAGGAGACTTAAATTTATAAACAATGGTTCGAGGCCCTTTTGAGTAGAAGGGCGGGGCCCAATAAAGAAAATTAGGAAATTCTTTTAAAATCCTACCCCTTCTATAGGGAAGATTGGAATTTGACCAAACCTAGTTTAAAAGCTTTCTGTGGTAAAGGGTCCCGGTTCCATGGGGCAGAAGGGGTAGGGTCCAATAGGGGAAATAGAGCATATTCTTTAAAGTTTTTCTTCTTTAAGAAATGTCAGGATGATCAAAACGAAGACTGAAGGGCAGATATATGGAGGGGGGATTCTTTAAATCCTTCAATACAAGGATATTGTCAAAGTTTGGTCTGAAGCATTCTTTTGTGAATGGAACTCAATTCTGTATGAACGCTGAACCTGAATTTCAGCTGACAACAACCGTGGAGGCCAACTAGGCCTCTTGTTTTAAATGAGGTAGCAATGCGTCATTTTTTATGATAGTGTAGCATATATAGATAATTATGAGGGGTTAGTCATACAATTTTAGATATTTGTGAGGGGTTAGTCATACAATATTAGATATTTGTGAGGGGTTAGTCATACAATTTTTTATATTTGTGAGGGGTTAGTCATACAATATTAGATATTTGTGAGGGGTTAGTCATACAATTTTAGATATTTGTGAGGGGTTAGTCATACAATTTTAGATATTTGTGAGGGGTTAGTCATACAATTTTAGATATTTGTAAGGGGTTAGTCATACAATATTAGATATTTGTGAGGGGTTAGTCATACAATTTTAGATATTTGTGAGGGGTTAGTCATACAATATTAGATATTTGTGAGGGGTTAGTCATACAATATTAGATATTTGTGAGGGGTTAGTCATACAATATTAGATATTTGTGAGGGGTTCGTCATACAATTCTATATATTTGTGAGGGGTTAGTCATACAATTTTTTATATTTGTGAGGGGTTAGTCATACAATTTTAGATATTTGTGAGGGGTTAGTCATACAATTTTATATATTTGTGAGGGGTTAGTCATACAATTTTATATATTTGTGAGGGGTTAGTCATACAATTTTAGATATTTGTGAGGGGTTAGTCATACAATTTTAGATATTTGTGAGGGGTTAGTCATACAATTTTAGATATTTGTGAGGGGTTAGTCATACAATTTTAGATATTTGTGAGGGGTTAGTCATACAATTTTAGATATTTGTGAGGGGTTAGTCATACAATTTTAGATATTTGTGAGGGGTTAGTCATACAATTTTAGATATTTGTGAGGGGTTAGTCATACAATTTTATATATTTGTAAGGGGTTAGTTATACAAATTTAGATAAGGCTGACTGTGTTGCCCTGCATCTTGTGATGGGTAAGCAGTATGGATATTAAAGGGTGATGAAAGCAATCAGTTTTCTTGCACAACTTGGGTAGAGGATGAGGTGAGAGGTTCGATCCCTACCTGGATAGAAGATGAGGTGATAGGTTCGATCCTTACCTGGATAGAAGATGAGGTGATAGGTTCAATCCTTACCAGGGTAGAAGATGAGGTGAGAGGTTCAATCCTTACCTGGGTAGAAGATGAGGTGAGTGGTTCAATCCTTACCTGGGTAGAAGATGAGGTGAGAGGTTCAATCCTTACCTGGGTAGAAGATGAGGTGAGTGGTTCAATCCTTACCTGGGTAGAAGATGAGGTTAGAGGTTCAATCCTTACCTGGGTAGAAGATGAGGTGAGAGGTTCAATCCTTACCTGGGTAGAGGATGAGGTGAGTGGTTCAATCCCTACCTGGATAGAAGATGAGGTGATAGGTTCGATCCTTACCTGGATAGAAGATGAGGTGATAGGTTCAATCCTTACCTGGGTAGAAGATGAGGTGAGAGGTTCAATCCTTACCTGGGTAGAAGATGAGGTGAGTGTTTCAATCCTTACCTGGGTAGAAGATGAGGTGAGTGGTTCAATCCTTACCTGGGTAGAAGATGAGGTGAGAGGTTCAATCCTTACCTGGGTAGAAGATGAGGTGAGAGGTTCAATCCTTACCTGGGTAGAGGATGAGGTGAGTGGTTCAATCCCTACCTGGGTAGAAGATGAGGTGAGGGGTTCAATCCTTACCTGGGTAGAGGATGAGGTGAGTGGTTCAATCCTTACCTGGGTAGAAGATGAGGCGAGTGATTCAATCCCTACCTGGGTAGAAGATGAGGCGAGTGGTTCAATCCTTACCTGGGTAGAGGATGAGGTGAGGGGTTCAATCCTTACCTGGGTAGAGGATGAGGTGAGTGGTTCAATCCTTACCTGGGTAGAAGATGAGGCGAGTGATTCAATCCCTACCTGGGTAGAAGATGAGGCGAGTGGTTCGATCCCTACCTGGGTAGAAGATGAGGTGAGAGGTTCGATCCTTATCTGGGTAGAAGATGAGGTGAGAGGTTCAATCCTTACCTGGGTAGAGGATGAGGTGAGTGGTTCAATCCCTACCTGGGTAGAAGATGAGGCGAGTGGATCAATCCCTACCTGGGTAGAAGGTGAGGTGAGTGGTTCAATCCCTACCTGGGTAGAAGATGAGGTGAGTGGTTCAATCCCTACCTGGGTAGAAGATGAGGTGAGAGGTTCGATCCTTATCTGGGTAGAAGATGAGGCGAGTGGTTCAATCCCTACCTGGGTAGAGGATGAGGTGAGTGGTTCCATCCTTACCTGGGTAGAAGATGAGGTGAGAGGTTCGATCCTTATCTGGGTAGAAGATGAGGTGAGAGGTTCAATCCTTACCTGGGTAGAAGATGAGGTAAGTGGTTCAATCCTTACCTGGGTAGAAGATGAGGTGAGAGGTTCAATCCTTACCTGGGTAGAAGATGAGGTGAGAGGTTCAATCCTTATCTGGGTAGAGGATGAGGTGATAGGTTCAATCCCTACCATGGGTAGAGGATGAGGCGAGTGGTTCAATCCTTACCTGGATAGCAGATGAGGCGAGTTTTTAAATCCTTACCTTGGTAGAAGATGAGGCGAGTGGTTCAATCCTTACCTGGATAGAGTTGAGGTGATAGGTTCGATTCATACCTGGAACTGAAATTCTGTACCGTTCTGAGCTTTTGTAGGTATGTTTTTGGGCAAAACACTTTTCATCAGTTGATTTGGATAGGATGCGTCGGACCTCCCGCGTGATAATCTGTGAATCATTAGGTGCTACAAGAAGGAGGCGATAAGCACAACAAGCAAAGCAGTACGTGCTAATTTCTGTTGATAGACAATATATCTCGACTAACTTTGGACTAAAACACATTTGATCGGAATAATACTTATTTTGCGTGCTAACAGCAAATTTTTGAACTCTTTTGATTGGGTGATAATATATCTAGACTAATTAGGAGTGTAAGCAGCTCATTTTTGAACACTTTTGACGGGGTAGTAAGAATCCTGTTGTGTATTCAGAAGAACATGAAACAAAATTTACTTCCCGCCTTGTTTATTAATCAATATGTCTGAATTGGTAGTAATATGAAATATAATGTTGACAGATTTGTAATGTGTCTTGCGTCATCTCGCCCACACTGTGGTTGAGATATGACACTATTATGCACCCCTTTTTCTGTGTGTATAGTCGACCGACCTCAGCAGCTGCCCAGAGACGTAACTTATCTCTTCTTTTGTATGTCCATTCTACCTACAGGTGACGTAAGTAACCGCAAATCACGGTCACATACATAGAAAGAAAGGCTGCATATGTTTTGTGCTGTTTTGAAAGTAATTTTGTATAGACATCTTTAGAAAAAGAAAGAAAGAGGGAGGGAGGGAGGGAGGGAGAAAGGAAGGAAGGAAGGAAGGAAGAGAAAACGAAATTTAGAAGCAGGATATCTGTTAGATATCTGGTTAAAAAAAAGGAAAGGACAGAAGGAAGGAAGGAAGAAAAGAGAGGAAGAAAGAAAGAAAGAAAGGAAGGAAGGAAGGAAGGAAGGAAGGAAGGAAGGAAGGAAAACGAAAGAAAGGAAGTACGATATATGTCGGATGTCTGGTTATCTAATGTAAGAAAAAAAAGAAAGAAAAGAAAGAAGAAAGAAAGAAAGAAAGAAAGAAAGAAAGAAAGAAAGAAAGAAGGAAAACGAAAGAAAGAAGCAGGATATATGTATGAAGTCTGGTTATAAAATGATAGAAAGAAAGAACGGAAGGAAAAAGGAAGGAAGAAAGAAAAAAAAGGAAGAAAGAAGTAGAATGTCTAAGATGTCTGGTTATAAAAAGAATGAAAGAAGTAGTATGTCTGTAAGATGTGTGGTTATAAAAAACCGAGCAAAACATCGTCGCTATCGTTACACTTCTTAGACAGGATATATTTTGTTCGCTTTCAATAAAGATTCGGTAACAAAGAAGGCCGTATATAAAATAATTTACATAGTGTCCCAGCCAGACGGACAGGTGGGAAGTGTCCATTGTAAATGACACAGTTTTGATATAATATGAGAAGTGTCGCTGACTAACTTTTACCTTACGTTAAGTCACTGTCTGGTACACAGGACACAGGATTAACCGCAGTGCCTTATTACGAAATCAAGGTGTCCAGAGTGGGCGATTTAAAGGCCATCGTGTTGTTGGCGGCATATTTGCTTACATAGAATACCCAGACAAATTAAACAAACAACATTTCAGACCCACTTTGTGAAGGTAGCCCAAGTCCGCTCGAAGGTTTTTTGTCCATAGTTTCAATACCGTACAGGGTTTCAATTTTAAATTGCACAATCGGTTTTATCGTAATGAATGAGCTCGCAAGCTGAAACGGCCTTGTTTGATACTGGACTCGGGTGTATGGACAAACGATCAAGTTTTAAATTTCTGAAGCTACATTATGTCGTTTCGTGACAAGCTATTCACAATATTTAAGAGATAGATTTTTAACATCCATGATCATTCACGACACCACGAGTGAGTTTGCATGGATATATTTGGTTTTTTTCAACGATATGAAAAGATCATCAACTTTTTCCCAATCTAGTAAATAATGTTGACAAACGATACTTTGTGAAAAAATCTATAAACGTTAATTAAATATCTACGATATAACACATTTATACATTTCACAGATCCCGAACAATTCACAGAGAGGCACGCTGGTCATATCATTGCACAGTGAACTTAAGGCCGATACTTATCTAACAATGTACCAACGGTAAAGTTAAATGGGTATTGGATATCAAAACTGATTGTATCTCTCAACCTTGTCAGGTAGGCGATTGTAACGTCCGTGATAGCACTTGTCCGTAGATCACGGAGTGTGCAAATGTGTTGTAACCGATGTCAATATCTCCTCAGTCGGCCAGCGAAATCGACACAAAGCCCCGGATGGTTGTCATTATCTCGCTACCCGGTGTCTGCTGTCATTCATAGACTATGGAGCATTATATACGTTTAGAATTTTTCTACTTTTAACCTTGAGATTGTTTTACCCATTTTCGTACAGCAATGATTTTCAATTGTGTGGTGATTTAAATTGATTTAGATCGTCAAGCGACCCAGTACGTGTCTGCGAGTCAGTGGTTATGTCATTCAGAGACACCAGTGTTTTCCTAAGTAACGAATACATACTGCATATACAGAGGCGGTTCCAGGAAGGGGAGGCGGAATGGCAGATGACTACAGGCTTACCCGGGCGGGTTCTTTATATATAAAAATAGCTTACCCGGGGTAGAATGGTACCCATGACTACAAGCTTACTTGTGCGGGAATGGTATGCATGACTCCAATGTTACCCGTGAAGGAATGGTAACCATGACTACCGCTTACCCGGAATTGATTATCGACTCGTCCAGGTAGAAATGGACCCTCGATGACCATCTCAACGGCAAAATGATCAGCTATGGATGGATGGTGGATGGATGGAAATTTGTTTAGAATTTTGTCTAAGCTCGTTAATTCATATAAGTCCGAACCCAAAATGTGCATAAGTGCCTCCAGGTTGAGGTTACTTTGTACGTACAATGTGCACAATTTAAATAGTCATTTTTTGATATTCCAGTTAGCCTGCCTAAGTTTTGTTTCTTTATATATAACTACAGATTTATCTGTAAATATATAAACAAAATCACTTCATCCATCACCTTCAGGTTTTCGAGTCGATACTTTTTTATCGTAACGAAGTCATCTTGATTTGATTTACATACAAGTATCTTCCCACTTGGCCGAGATCCTATGTAAATGAAAGGAAATGGTTTTCAAATAGCGAATCTAAGTTTCTCTTTTATCCACACACACTGGATCAATAGCGCAATAACAAGTTTAATTTTCTCTCGTCATTGTTTCAATTTCTATCTTTAAATAGCCACAATAAAAGCCGTGTTTTAAGAAGGGCAGAATTGTCAATCAATTTTAGAAACGAATGTAAAAATCTAAAAGATGTTGAATTTTATCAAAATATATACCGTAATTTCTTTCGGATTTCTTCACATTTTCTCTTTTGGACAACTTCCAGTCCCTTCATCAGTTATTGTAGATATTTATCTGTAGATATTTTATTTTGTATTTGTTTCGTAATTGTGTTCTGAGAGCAAACATTTTCTATATCTTTGGAATTTTGAATTGTACATTCAGGTACGTTAAAACGTCAGGATTGTTTGGTGTGTGGTATTGATATGCCGTTTGTCCTTAAAGGTGTATCCTACCTGAAATTAAAACGAAAGTTATTTTAGAAGAGTTCCATTTGGTGAAGATTACGAAAATATTCCCTTAAAACTATACAAGAAAATCTATATGGACAAGATCGATGGTATTTTTAATGAGTAATTTTTGTAAAGAAAAGTAATTCTTTTACTAAAACAAATAATAGAAAGATGTACCACAAACACACAAGATAATCTTCAATACAATCCAACATTAACCTGAATGTCGTAAAAAGTCTATCATCTTTTCATATTTGCATCTGAAGTAGAATTAAGATTAATCAAAATTTAGAAGTGAGTTGAAAAAGTGTTTTTGACTTGACATTTATAGCAAATATGAATGCCAGATGATTTTTTAAAGTTGAGACATGGCATTTATAGCAAATATGAAAGTCAGATGAACTTATAAGGGTTTTAAAAAGACAAAAGATGAATAGAGAAAATACGATGAAAAATGAAATATATCCAAATCCTTGTCGTTGCCACTCGAATATGTCTACATTGATTTATACAATGAAATGTGTTTCCGATTCAGCGCAACACTTTTTATAAAATCTAAAGCGTCAAGGTTATATCTCAGAACATATGTACCTTTAAGACGGAGAAAGACACCAAACTACAGATCGTAGTTTCGTCGTTACAGTAGAAAATTGATGGAAACATGGAACCAGTAAGACTGACCTTTAATTCACTTCTCACTTCATTCAGAATTATTATTTAACTTTTCAGCATAGCTTAAACTTATTTAATACCAAAATCACATTTGTAGATGAGGTAAAAATTATTGTAATTTATCAACCACTGTTCCTCATATACATTCACGATACAGCCAAGTCAGTAATACAGTATATCAGATATAGACAAATAATGGCTCCGGAGTCCGTACATAAAAGTTCGATATTTCGCCTATAAGAGTCACTGTTTTCTGCAAAAGCATTGTATACTATAAAATTAAAGATTGTCTGCAAACTTACCGTACGGCGTACACTGAAGAAATTGTTTCCTTATAAACAATCATATATTCTTGCCTGAACCATACAGGTGTAAACACCGTACGATACTAAATAACAACTAGTCATATATTCTTACCTGAACCATACAGGTGTAAACACCGTACGATACTAAATAACAACTAGTCATATATTCTTACCTGAACCATACAGGTGTAAACACCGTACGATACTAAATAACAACTAGTCATATATTCTTACCTGAACCATACAGGTGTAAACACCGTACGATACTAAATAACAACTAGTCATATATTCTTACCTGAACCATACAGGTG